GGGAATTTGATAATCTTTAACAATGCCATGCTTTCCAGTGTGGATGGCCTGAGCAGCACAACCCAAGTGAATGGGAATTTGGTGATCACTGACAATGACAAGCTTTCTGATGTGGATGGCCTGGGCAGCATCACCCAGGCGAAAGGGGATGTGTTGATTGAGTACAATGACATTCTTTCCAGTTTGGATGGCTTGGGCAGCATCACCCAGGTGATTGGGCATTTGAAGATCATGTACAATGCCATCCTTTCTGACGTGGATGGCCTTGGCAATATCACCTGGGTGAATGGGAGTTTGTGGATCTGGTTCAATGACATGCTTTCCAGTGTGGATGGCCTGAGCAGCATCACCTATGTGAAAGGGGATTTGTTCATTGGACGCAATGGCGTGCTTCCCAACCTGAATGGGTTGGGGAGCATCACCCAGGTGAACGGGCATTTGAGGATCTGGAACAATTCCATGCTTTCCAATTTGGATGGCCTGAGCGGCATCACCCAGGTGAAAGGGGATGTGGCCATTGAATTGAACGGCATGCTTTCCAATGTGGATGGCTTGAGCGGGCTTGTCCTTCTTGATGGAGGCCTATTGATACAGGAGAATGCCAAGCTTACTAATCTGGATGGCCTGAGCAGGCTCGCTCAAGTGAATGGGAGCCTGGTGATAATTGAGAATGCCATGCTTGCTGATGTGCGTGGGCTGAGCAACATCACTAGTGTGAATGGGAACTTGCAGATCTATTCAAATGGTGTGCTTTCCAATGTGGATGGCTTCAGTAGTATCATGCAGGTGGATGGCAACTTGATGATCCAGTCAAATAAAGCACTTCGAAACCTGGATGGTCTGGGCAACATTGAACATGTGAATGGGGATCTATTCCTTTCTAAGCTGAGTATTAATCCTCGGAATTCGAGTTTGTTTGAAAAGATGGTTAACATCAGTGGAAGCCTCACTGTTGAGAATATTGAATTTCACTTGCCCTTTTCTGTACTTAGCCCTGAGGTCGATTACCATAATGTCTTTCGTAGGGCTGAGCTTAGCTTTCCAAACTACAGCTTGCTGCCAGGCCTTGCACATATTGGGGGCTCCTTGGTACTTAAAGGCAACCGGTTACTGCCACTCTCATTTTTGAGCTTGCAAAGTGTATGCTCAAATGCTGTGGAGAGATGCAATATTACGATTGATGACAATGCATTCCAAACAGAGAGTGACGGCCTCTCCTCATTCGACAATCTCAGTGGCCCCTTGAAAGGTGGTGTGTACATCAGAAGAAATGCTGGGCTGACAAACATCACGAGCTTCAACAAATTGACATCACTGAGAGGTGTGGAGGGTACTGGACAGGACCAATTCCTTGGTGGTTTGGTCATTGCTTTCAACCCAGACTTGGAAACTGTGAACGGGTTTGATATTCTTGAAAAGGTAGAAGGAGATGTAGAAATTCATGGCAATGGCGTGCTGGATTACATCAGTATGAAGAGCCTAGCCACAGTGGACGGGGAGACAAGCATATCATCAAATGGTGAAGGCTTTGTGGCTTTTGAATCAAAAGAAGCACTTCCCTATCGCCAAGCAGGTTGCCGGGTGTGGAAGGGCAAGGTTCCAATTTCATCAGCCTTTGTAACTCGTTTGGCTAAGAATGTATGCACTGTGGAGGTGCTGACTCCAATGTTGGTGGGATTTGCCATTATTGGCATGCTGGTGTTGGTGTCGCTCTTGTTGATGAACTACCTTGCCTTGAGATTTTGCTCCCCTTACAGGAAAAGAATGTCGTTGAGCAAATTGAAAGGGATGTTTGCCACCCATTTACTGGCACTTGCTGACGTGCTGTCTGATGCAGGCTTCATTGTGACAGTCTTTATTCTGTGGGACTCCAAGTCAAGGACAGGGATCGCTGGCAGTGATGATATATACGAAATGCCCCACACGCCACTCTTTGTGATAGGGTGCTTGAGTGTTGTGGTGCTGGCAGTGTCTCAATTGTTTGCGGTGGTTGCAGTGGTTTGGGGGTTGAAGACGATACATGCAGATCAATATGCAAGCGGGGAATCTCTGTCACTCATGGACTACCTGAAAGAGGAACAGTGTATGAGGAACGATGATTGGCTGTTGCTGCTTCCTGGTCTCTTGTTCCTGGACGTCGAAATCCTCAAGCACCTTCCTTGGGGAAGCAGTCTCACAGTGAATGGCATTAGGATCGGGGAGAATGACGAATTTCCGCACCCCTACTTCACTTGGGTTGCCTTTATTGTTGGTTTGCTGGAAGATGTGCCGCAGATGGCACTGCAAATAGCATTCATCGTTCGCATTGAAGATGATGATGGCTGGGCGATCACTGGGGCGATGGCATCTTTGACTCTCTCAGCGGCAGACGCCATGGTGAAGATTGTGTTTCCGCTGCTGATACAGCGCCTAGTTCCGGATCAGCGACACATAACACGGGAATTCGCAATGGCCAAGCGGTGTGATGTATGTGATCGGCCTCTCCCAAGGACCAAATTGTTGTCCTACAGGGACTTGGATGAATAAGTTCTTAGTGTAGGATGATTGAGGCGGACGAGCCTCGCTCTGTTTGGAGTCGAAACAAAATGGCTGCAAATGAATGCATAGCATTTGACGGATGCCCATTTCGTTAGAGGAACGCTCGCAACCGTATAGAATGGAAATATGTTGTGCATGCTATTGAGTTTAAGCTGCTTCGAGAAAGACACTTTGTTCGTTTAGAGTCCAGCGGCTGCTCAGGGGGGGAGGGCGAACGACTTGGACTGAAAGAAATTGCATCTGCCCTTTCGGCGCCAGCTCTTTCAAGCCGCCCTAGTTCCATTGGGCTGCAGCGGCGCCCTGCTAGTCGAATCGCTGCTTGCGCAACAGTTCGGTTCGAAGTCTACGAGCGCAAAGCACAACTGAAAGTGCCGTGGAATGACTTGGCGCGGCTTGCAAGAAGTTTCTTGTTTTTGTGAGTGCGTAATGAAAGGGAATAGCATTGGTGATACTGTTGTTGCCTTCTGCCATGGTTGTTGCAATGGGTGTATACACCATGGCGCTATGTAGCGCATCTCCCCAAATGTACGTGCAACCATCCTATTTTCAAACTGCAAAGGCGTTCCACCCACGTGGGTGGAACGCCTTTGCAGTTTTAAAGTGGAATGGTTGCACGTACACATGTAGTTTCCTTTGTCTCGCGCCGCCAGATTGAGGTTAGGGTGCACCCTAAACGCAACTTGGCAGCGCGAGACAAAGGAAACTGGCCCAAAATGAGGGGCCTTCCTGCATTGCTAAGGACTTTTTCATGCGGCACTGCCCAGCGCTGACCTTAGTACATGGCGCCCCTGGTGCCCATACCCTAAAACTCCAAAAGAAGAACATAGACTGGCTAAAATTAACCTAAGACCGAGATCAAAAACTAATAAAAAGCACACTCTAGAAAACCTGACAGAAACTAAACACTATAACCTGAACTAAACTGACCCTAACTAATTGCCCTGAAAGAATTGCCGAGCAAGCGGGGCGGCATGTGGTGGGGCACTGCCGAGCAGTGCCGTGTGTAAAGATCTGCATTTTTTTTAAATTCTTTATCATAGTGCCACACGTGTGGAATTCCAGAAAAGAACATTTGCGGGCGTTGCCCCCTTTTTGGGTCGTTTCTCCTTTTTCCGATGGTTTTCGGCCAAAGAACCGCCCCCTGTGGTGATTTTCTACATACCCCACCGGAACCGCGTACCCTGTCATTAAGGGTCCATTATGGTCCCAATTACATTGGTCTATTGTTGTTTGAATACTCAGTAGTTGGTGCGGAGACAGCGTGATTGTGCAGGAGGCAACCTGTGAGATATGCCCTGCCCGTACGGAGACGCAGTGGCGGTTTTGATGATGCGCGGTGCCCATGCGAGAGCGTGCTGGGAGTACTGATGAGACCGAGTGCCTTTGTGAGAACGTGCCAGAGGCCCTGATGACGTAAGATGACCTTTTGCGAGAGTGTGTTGAAGGCCTGATGACGCGGCACCCCATACGACCATTGGTGTATGCATAGAGGACGCGCCGAACCGCTGGAGATGTGATTGATGACAAGGAGGACGTGCCGCACTGCTGGAGGCACCCCCGGCAATGGGCGGACCTGCTGGACCTTCCGCGGGTGCGTCAGAAGCCGAATCCGACGTACTTGGGTGGCCAAAGTTCTGTGGGTGCCGCACCCATGCGGTTTCCAATACTTTATGGTGATTAGCCATTACGGGTGCTGCACCATGTGCTGTAACCCAACGCGGGGAGCCAACAGCCGGTACCGCGGCGTGAATGATGGGTGTGGTAACATTCTGAGCGGCGTGGCTCTAACAGATGTTGGCGGTGCAATTAGTATGAATGGGTAACTTGGGTTAGTACATTAGCGGGCGGTGCCCGTACTTTGGAGCCAGGGCAGCACGCCCAAGGGCTGGGACTGGGTCGGAATCCAGGGAAACGCGGAGTAGTGCGTAAGTGGGGACTGTTCGTAGGCTAAGACGAGGGTGGCGCACCCAAAGACGAGGTACAGCGGTGCCGTGTATGGATTTGAGGTGACCTTTCGTAGGTGCACGGTACCGGTGCCGCACCAAGCGGCTTGCACTATTATGGACACACGACTTGGTTGTAACGAACAGGAACCTTGGGCCCACGTCGTTGTTTCTCTGCGTGTTTTTCAAGAATTGTGCCCCTCTGAGTGGTTACCGTGCCGTATTGACAGTCGCCCATTGTGGGTGCATCCTCGCCGTCGAGTGCTTGATCTGGCGGGCGTTCATTTTCGTGCGTGACAGGTTCATTGCCGGAAGATTCGCCATTTGGACGCCATTCCTGCGCTGGTTCGAGGCGCGACGCCGATACCACACACCTCCGCCCCAGAGCCGGAGCCTCCGAGCCCTCCCTGTCGAACGCCGAAACAGGCGAGTGGCGACCCTCGCCTCTCCATGGGCCACGCTCCGCGGTCGGGCAGCTCCTGACACTCGCCGCTGGGCCGGGGCGCCCGGCCGTTCGAGATGGATCGCCTCCTGGCCCGCCGACCCGCAAGGCGGGGGCTCATGCTGGCCGCGGAGGCCCTGCGGTGCCGCCACCGGCGCCTGTGCGCCTCTGCGGCGTCCGAGCTGTACGACGTGGTGATCGTCGGGTCGGGGATGGTGGGCGCGGGTTTGGCGGCGGCGCTTGGTACGCTGGAGTCCCTGCCATGATTTCAATTCCATCATGGGATGCTTCGCTTGGACGTTTGAATTTTTTAAAACATTCCAAAACACTGCATAGCATTTCAGTGTCCAGGTGTCTCCCCCGTCCTGTCAAAAGATATGAGCACTTGGAGTTGTGCGATCGTGCGTATTGCATCGGGCTGAGTTGGTTTTGCTGGTTGCCTTTGGGATGTTGGTGGGACTGGCTTTTCGTTTTTGGTTTCGGCTCTTATGGAGTGGGGGACGGTTGTTGGGAAGGGACGAAGCGTTGCCAGTGGTGGGATTCCTCCTTGGCATATGGCGGCAACGGGGGACGCGTGTTTGCGGCTAGCGGAGCCCTTTTGCAAGTCTGGCTGGTCAAGCGATGAGCGGAGCACGGGGCTTTGTCACTGAAGCATGGTTGTTGGTGTTGTGATGTTGTGGTCAAAAGCGCGTATGGTGCGAGGGCTGAGATCTGTCGTATGCAACAACTGCTGGTTGAAGAGTTCAAATTGTAGCGATTCTCTTTCGATGGTGCACTTCATTTGAGGCATCGCTCTGCTGATCTGCGCTGGCACTCCGTTTTCGGCGATTGTGCTGACTGACCGTGGGCTGGGTGGTATGTTAGCACCAGACAGTGTTTTGTTTGTCCTGTGCTAATAGACGTCGAAACGGGTCTGCAAACAATGGGTCCGCACCATCCCTGAATGGGGCCATGTTTCCACCCAATTGGCTGTGAAAGAATCTTAGCAACACCTATACCATGGCTGTGATGACTCAGGTGCGAGCCCGCTTACGGATCGTCTGAGAGTTGCGGTCCTGGATCAAAAGGTGTGTTCACATGTGTTGCATGGGATTTGTGTGGAAGTGGTCACTGAGCAGTTTCTGGGTTGTATTTATGCCTGTCAGAATATATGGAGGCTCAGCGCAAGTGTGTGCTTTATCTGCATCCCTTGTAAAAGCTGAGGATGTGTATGCATCTTCTAATTTCATTTCCTGAACGAGACCAACTATGTCCACCTGCAGCCAAAGGAAAAAAAAAACGAAGGGCAGCTGTGGATGCATCACTGTACAACTGGCACCAAATGCTGCTATTCTGGGTGTATCCTACCCAAGCATCAATCTCCAGCAAGAATTAGCCAGGGTGATAATTTGTTGATGGTCATCACTGTTGCACCTGATAAAAAAGCACTGTGCATTGCATATCAGGAAAAAGGGCATGCAGAAGTTCTGAATTCATTGCTTGTACTGTCGTTATTAATGTTGCCACGGGCCTTCTAGGCTATGAGGGTAATTGGTTCCATGACATATAATCGAAGTAGTGAACGTGACCTATCTGGTGTCAGTGAGGTTGGAGATGAGTGGGCATCAGGTCCTTGGCCATGGCAAACTGTATTGCTTACCAAAACAACCCACACTCTTTCATCCAAGGCAGGAGGGCACAACTGCTTCTGTTGAAGTTGTCAGATTTGCATACTATTGTCATTTCTCCATCACGGGCAACAATATCAATGTCTTTGCAGTGCTGATATGAGTTGTATTTACTTACATATCTCAGTTGTTTGATCTGTGGGCATCATGCCATCATTGCCAGAATGGGTTGGTTCAGCAAGATGTTGTTGATCAGGCTCATAGTTTGCATCTGATCAGCCAGTATCTTGCTTTACCCATAGGTTTGTGCTTGTAGACACCAGAGGACAAGCTGGCTTCATCCCTCAGCCCCATCCCAGAGATGCGGGTGAGCACTTTGACACCTGCCAGCATCCAACTGCTGGAGAAAACAGGTGCTTGGGACAGAATTCTACCACCCAGCTGCGCTTCATTTTCCCACATGCAGGTCAGTTGCAACATGAAAGAATGCATCTGTTGGACTTGGCCTTCTTGGTTGCTGTGTGGCTCTCAGCATTTTGGCTTGATAGCCAATCAATGCATCGTTCAAGATGCTGCCAATGTTTCATCGCAGTTCTAATAGCACTGTTCTTCCACACCTGAGGTCATGTGGAATGCAGCACTTGAATGTGGCACATTACATGTGCTCCTTGAGCATCGTTTCTTCATGTGGTCAAGTAAATGGGTGCTGCTTGATAGCTCCAATGCTTGTGTGTTGCAATCCTTGGAGATTTCCACCCATGGTCACTGGGACACCCCATGTTCACCCCAGCTTGCATGTTAAGGAAAAGTGTGTACCACTGAAGAAACTGGGATGTTGGCATTGCTGTCTTGTTCCCTCCAAACAGCAACATTACTTGGTCATGTGGTTCTGTGGATGACATTTTACAGCATGATGTAACATTATAAAGTCTTTGCTCACTGCAGACTGCAGTGGGCATAACAACCGATGTTTGCTCTTCTCTTTTCGAGTGCATAATATTTCAGCCCATTTGATTGTCCAGATGCTGTCCCCGTTTGCAAAGAGATATGTAGAACTTGTACCTTCTAACAAGAACTTGACAGGCGATGTAACAAGACATTCAAGTGTGTGTTCGGCCTTCCTTGGTCTAGTCACAATGCATACATTTGCAGAATTGATTGGAAGACTTGTGACTGAAAGCTGACCCCGACACCATCATGGAGTATGTCCTTGGGTGTTGGCACATTGTTGCCAGTGTTAATCCTTGGAGCATATAGGCCGTATAGCGTACGCCGAAAATTGTGGAGGATTGCGCAGAAAATGGCACAGAATGTGATTGTGCGTAATGACCCTTTATCCTAAACAGCAAACCTGATATTGTCGTGGGAACACAGCCTTGGGCTTGCGACCATTGTGATGCATCAGAATTCAGCATCTTAATAAGGGTGCGCATTGTTCTCTATCTGTCAGAAAGAGTATCTTCGATTATAAGCCGCCACAGGTTTGGGATTACAGTGGTGCAGGTTGCCTTCGGTGGAGTGCTGCAGACATCCAGAGGGACACAATGGGCGCCATCATTGAAAATGGAGTGCTGCAATCCGCTTTCCTGGCGGTTGCCAGGGAGAGAGCTGGGGTAGAATGCATAATGCCAGCGACAGTGAAGGCGCTCGTGCAGGCTCCGTATGCCAGAGAGCCTGGCTCCAATTCAGCCAACCCCTCATCCATTCTTCGACTAGAAGATGGCAGATTGCTCAGAGCGAGGCTGGTGGGGTGTATTAATCTGCAATGGCACTGTGACAATGGGAGGGCCTGCCCTAATTTTGTTTGAGAATGTGCATGTGTGCACCTCTTTTTCATGTCCCAAATTGCTCGCACAATCCAGAATGAGGGATTGTGTCAGGAAGTTGTTTCATGTCAGTGAGATCCACAGCATTCATTATTATCAGCACAAGGGATCATGGTGCAATTCTCAGTAGCTCCTGCTAGTTGCGGCTGTAGTTCCATTGTAGGAAGACCTTTTCTGAACAACAGCTGATAGTAGAATCGACTTGTTCTTCAAAGTTGCAGAAGCAGAGCCATGACTGCTGTCCCATCTTGGAAAAGATGCCTTAGCAGTGGCAGCAGTTATGGGTGTGGAATAAAGTGTATCAATTCGTTTAAATCTGGACAAAGCAGAATCATCACTGCACGACATTCTGAAAAGCTCTGAGTTCATCGTGCACAATCTGGCACTGCCATTCATTACCTCTGTCACCAGTGCCTGTTGCTCTGCCCTGAGAAGGCAAATGTGCTGTGAAAAGCAGAGGTGTGAAAAGTACCTGTGGTATCATGCTCGCACCCACACAACCTCCCTCACCTTTTCCTTTGCCCGCAATTTCCAGGTGGTGGGTGCCGATGGTGCACATTCAAACATCCGGCAGATGTCTGACATACGAACAGTTGGCTGGGAATACGACCAGAGAGGTTTGGTGGCCACGGTGCGCGTGTCGTTCCCAACAGACACTGCCTGGCAGCGTTTCCTTCCCACTGGCCCTGTGGCACTGCTGCCAGTGAGGGCAGGCTTCTGTAACGTTGTGTGGTCCACCACTCCTCCGATGGCCAGACAGCTGGAGAAGGCACCTCTTGACAAGGTGGCACTTGCGATCAACGAGGTGAGTTGTGCGTCTTTATTGAGCTGCAATTCTGTGGATTGGCAAACAGAGTCCTTGTGCTTGCAGGCGATGACAAGCTCTCCTTTTCAGCGATCCATGCGTTCCTGTTGGGCTATGTTCCTTTGCATGTTGCAACATCTTTGTTGTGTTTGAGTTTTCTCGTGCTCCCATCCTCGCAAGGCCAACGGAGCAAGCGCAGTGCAGAGCTAATGCATCTGGTTCATAGTCAAATTTGGGTGTGTGTAGATTTTTTGCTCCGTTCAGTTTGATTTTGTTCATATGGGCGGTGTGCGGAATACTAACCATGTACTGGAGCACGCAGTGACGGGAATTTCTGCCCCCGTTATGTTAGGTCAAGGGCTTTGTTTGCCTTGGCTCATTGACAGCTGCCGCTCATGGAATATGACCACCGATGCAGTGGCATTCACCTGCCGTCTGCTCATGGTGCGAAAAATGATGTGCGGAACATTACTGTACTTTCCAGTGTGTTGTTGTTCTGTTACAGTCGCAGGTAAGGGCAAGCAGCGAATATCATTCGTTCATCAGTGTTCATGTGGCTCCGCAGGCATTCCATGGTGGCCCCAGCAACGATCCGCCCTCGCCTGTGGCATCCATGCTGGAAAAAGCTGGCCAAGAGCCATCGATGTTCTGCAGCCCTCCGGCAGTTGTCGAGATCGTGGGCGGACCACCCCGATCTTTCCCATTGAAACTGATGCACGCTGGAAGGTAATGTGGCATTCCCAGGGGCTTAGTTTCCATCAGCTAGTTCCAAAATGTGTGAGGTAACATTATTGTCTGTTGATATTATCTGTGACATCTGTTATTGTCATTGATTGTAACTAACAATACAGACGAAGTTTCAGATGAATGGACGCTGTCAGGACTAAGATAAAATTCTGCAATGAAAATGGTATTAATTGTTAGCATTAACGCTTCACTACACTTGTGCAATACTAAAAGGAATTGCATCAGCTTGTGCTGGTGCTAATTTTGTAAGTATGCTATAACAGATATGAGCCAATGTGACAGATCGCTGCCCTTGTTCTCCTTGGGGTGTTTTTTTGATATTGGCCATGCCACATTTCACTTCTACTCAGTTGTGCTGAGACACTGTGTGTCTGACCACAGTTACGTTCGCCCTCGCCTGGCCCTTGTGGGCGATGCGGCCCATGTTGTGCACCCTCTGGCTGGACAGGGGGTGAATCTGGGGCTGGGGGACGTGCAGCAGCTGGCCGAGGCGCTGGCAGCAGCTGTGGAAACTGGACAGGACATTGGAGACTTGCACTTGCTACAGGTGAAGATTACCACAGCGAATGGGTGTATCCTTGCTTGCGAGTAGAGCACACTTATTTTGCAATGACCCTCAGCAGGCACTACTCATCATATTCAATAATCTGGTCTCCTGTCATGGGACACCACCATGCTGTGCTGTACAGACACCTCCAATGTGACAGCACAGACAGCCCAGGCGAAGAGTGGGATGAGTTGGAGGAGGGAACTGCCCAGTGATGCCTTTCTATACGCTATGCTGAGCTCACGGCTCATTCTTTTGGCCAGCCAGCAGTGCAGATGAGAAATCGCTCCTGAGGGCATTGAGGTTCTCTGATACAATGCCCTGGCATCAGCAAAGAAGCAAGACCATTTTTGTTGCTGGTTTAGTAAAGCCGAGGTGAACATCCCTCTGCTATGGGAGCTTCCCACAACAAGTGCACATCGATTCCGACCCTGCCCTGCTCCTGTCATGCTGTTGTTCGGCCACTACGTGTTGTTCAGTCGTCAGTGTGTGAATCAGAGCAGTGCGCTGCCGGGGTGCTTCAGCACATCATCTTGGTTCAGCCTGGACTGAAACCCATTGAGCCAGCAAGGCTCCTTATGGCCAAGAAACAGAGGGGTATGTTGAGCATTCGTCCAACCAACAGATCTGCACAGTTCCATCCAAGAATGTGCACATGTGATCCTCGCAGCACACCTGCGCCAAGTGCTGACAGCTGGCAAGAAAGGCCCACAAGAACTTGGGAAGAAGAAGATTCCCTACATATGGTGTTACGACAAAGATGTGCATGTCACTGTCCGTGCTATACCCGCAATACGTGGCCCATGATGGCCACGTCCAGAGCCGCCTATGCGTCATCCCACTACTCCCCAATCTCGAAATAGAACTCTGTGGAACAGCACCACACAATGCATTTGTTCAGGGTGCCTCCCAATATGTGGCAAACAAGAACAGGATAACAGCTGAGGGGGGGAATGTGATGTTGATCGTGTGTTGGTGCAGACGACATACGAGCAGCCAAGGCTGAAGGCGAATTTGGCCATGATGGCGGCCCTGGATGCCTTGAAGCGTGCATTCGGAGTGCAGAGCGAGCTGTTCGCCCAGATGCGCAACCTCGGCCTGGACGTCCTGAACGCGGCCAAGCCCATCAAGAACAGGGTCATGCAGTACGCCATGGGCCTGTGAGGTGGTCATTGGTGGAGAAAAATTGCCAAAGGGATGGCACTGCGATTGCATGATTCGATTCCCTTCTAAGACGCGGTGCATCACGAACGGACGACTTTGGTCAATTCAACGAGGTTTCGGAAGGGCCAAAATTTGTCCGGCGTATACAAGCTTTTGCTGAGATAAGTGCAACCAGCTGTTTATGCGTAACTGCCTGAAGTTAGTGGCGTAGGCAATGACGTGATGCCAATGCATTGGTGCTCTCTTGATGACCAGCAAAGGCGATACGCGTAATGCGATTGGCCAGTGTTTGTATAAATCCTTCGTGCATGTCTGGTGCCCCCCCCGCTCCACCCAACCCCATCCACATGACGTCAGTTTCTACACAAGGACATACATGCCAGGAGCTCCTTGCTTACGTCAGCATGTAATACGTTGGAATTCGACAAAAAGCACATGTATGTCAATGCCTGCATCATCTAGCAGCAATATGTCAGTGGAATGGCGCAATGCTCGAGTGCGCCATGGAACACGAGTGTCGACACCGCACCAACCTCTTTGGGTGGTTTTGAGTGTGCGCTCCCTTGTGGCACCGAGAACGTGTGGCTTGCAGGATTGGCTTCCTGCAGGAACGGACTTGGCTGACCAAGTGTGGTAGTGCAGCATGCGAGAGGGCCGACACGGGCCACTTTGACTTGTGTGCTTGGGACTCCTGATTGCAAGATATTCTCAAGAGGAGGGAAAGGTGGCCTGATTTTGCTGACAAGTTCTCAAATGCCGGACGCAGCACTGTACCATTCGAGCTGCTGAACCGCATCCAGTGGGCTCACAGCGCCCCAAGAAAGCGCCCAGCCCAGCATATGGCTCCAATGCGAAAGACGCATTTCGCTATTGACGGTGATCAGAGCGCAACGGCATGGCGCAAACTGCTCGTGCAATTTGCACCCTCCTCCCGAGCGCTTCAAGCCATTTCTTTTTTGTTTTTGACGAATGGTTTGGCCAGTGGACCCGTGTCTCCAAGTCTTGCACTGATACTCCCTGCCGTTTGGAACAGTTCGGTCCGCACCTGGAGTCCGTGAAACATGCCCATGCCATATGGCTCTCGTCCAAATCACGTTGTGTTAAAGCAGCCTCCATGCGCAGCTGCCCATTAGGGCTGATGATCTGCTGCTGCTGCCTCACTATTGCGAGGATCCAAGCCTTCCATTTCCTTGCACAGGTGCTGCGGAAGCGAGGCGCCTCAATTCAGTGTTCGTGAACAAACGAGGCTGATAGTTGGAGCCAAAATGTCTCCACCAACCAGCCCTGCCTGTTGCAGCCGAGATTCCACGTCGATCATTGTGCATCACAGCCAACTGTGTGTTTTGAGGGCGTCTAACGTTCGCTTTCTCACGATCGCTGTTCACCAACTCCTCATGCAACGCACCAAATCCTCATGCACACGCAAGGCAACGTCACAATCGCTTCACAGGTCGCAAATCGACATGCCACACTGTACGACAATGGGGCAGTGTCCGCTCTCTCAGACTTGGTTCCTGCCACGTTCTCGAAGTCGATCGCTTGAAGCGATTGGACTTGAACGGCACTTAGACGTTCACACATAATGAGGCGCTCCAAGATTTCTCAGAGTCACAACATGTGATTTTGTGGGATGTGGGACTAGCTCTGCGGCTCACAATGAAGACTGGATCCCTGGCTGCACTTTGAAGTTCGATTTTGGGTATCTTTTGCACCAGAGGAATGTTCGACACGCGTCAGGAGCAGTTCACATGGGATTTTTCAGACATGCGTTTCAATTTTCAACAGGACTGGCAGAGACCGACCCCGGATTTCCGGCTTAGCCCAGTGCGTGCACGCCTCACCAGGAGAATGGCTGCCCCTTTTGGCCTGTGCTGCAGCCACACAGCAGTTGTAACATGGCCTACACTTTCAGTAATCTATCCAGTACTGATCGCATCAGTTTTGTGATGAAGGGGCGAGCGCTTCCCCACGAATTCTGCCTTTTCCAAAGGTGCCTTTCGCCAACTGCCCATCACTGTACTGATGTGGCACAATAACTAACAGCGAGTTTAACAATTGGAAAATGCTGATGAGATTTTGTCAAAACATATCATGTGACAAACTGTGTGTCGCAACCTTGTGGAACCTGCTCTTCAAGAATGGGGTGTTCGAGCTTATCTACGCATGAATTTGCCAAGTTATTGCCAAAGGAGAAGTGACCGGTGATGCCAATTTGCAAAAAAAGCAGAGCACCACGCTGCCCTGTGAACCACCCACGCGCCATCGCACAACGTTGGCAAATTTCCCAACGCTGGCATTGTCCAACGGGAATTGCATTGTGGCTGACGTGGAAACGGTTAGCGGAACATGGGCATGACATGGACATCATTCCATGTTTGCCAAATCGTTCGAGGAGTGCTGGACCACTCCAGAATGACATGTCATTGTGCAGTCAATGAAGAAAATTGTGGAGAAGCCCACATCCAATCCAAGATTTTGGATAATGTATGGATATCCAGACCACTGTCGGTGGTCTATTGCCAAAGCCCGCTGTGGGCGCCAGTTCTTCGCTGTTGAACATGCAAGAATGGGGCGCATTTAGACACAGACTGCATCCAAGCATTGAAAGAAAATGAGTGAGTGAAAAGCGGTTCAAAACAGTTTACCACCATTTGAACGCGACGCCGTAGATTGTGTGGAAATTGGTACAAGGCAAAAGTGTCGCTTTGTGCCAGGAGTGCATTTGGCGCAGACGAATGTGGCATTTTGAACGAAAAGATGCTCTGCGAACAGCTAAACACGACTTTTGGGTGGAGTTGGGCAAAGCGGCGTCTTTCCCATGCCCTTGAATGGCGTTTTCATATGCCGGTTACTGAGCTGAAGATGGGACCTGCTGGACAGCATATGTGGCAAAACCATCGTTGGCAAACGCCAAGCGACTTTGCAGCTCCGGGCGCGCCTATACAAGGGAGCTCTACCGAATCCGTTGTTACTCGACCATAACTCTACCTTGAAAGATACCCAAAGCCCGTCAACATGTGGTAGAACCTCTGCCAGCTTCCTGGGCCCATCTCCAGTGGCGGCTACCAAAATAGGATGCGCAACTTGCATGGCAATGCAGCCATCTAGCTTTGGAGCTAGTGAGGCAATTCTGAGTCGCCCAAGTGCTGGTGACACCTCTAAGGAGGGGATTCGAAATGTTGGCCATCAAAGGTGCGTTGCTCAAGATGGAGCGATTAGCCTAGAATGCTTACCCTGCATAAGCTAAGTTACCGGATTTCTGGAATCGTTGATTTGAAAAGTTTTTGAATGGTGATTGTCTCTGTTAACGCAGCTTTGGGGATGAGACAGCTGCGCTGCTACTGGTAGCCTGACTGGTCCAGGTAGGCGAATGGGCGATTTGATTATCAGAGAATCGTGGCGCCGCAACCTTCCCCTTTGCCTCAAAAAGTTTTATGATCGGTCCAAGAGCGCGCATGTTCCTGGAGGTAAGTGCATCCGAGTCTTGACGACTCTGGCTTCTGGCAAGCTGTCGAGTGCAAGACATGTGATGAGCACAATGCACTAGCAAAAAAAGGACCAAATAACACTTTTCGAACACACATAAAACACATTTTATCAAAGCTCTGCACGCTAAGAAAACAAAAGTAACACAAACACGTGAACTTTGTACACGTATGAGCGCGTGTTATTTGGCTTTTTTTCCCAGGGATGGGTTGAAATTGCCAGCGTGAGACATTTTGCGACTCCCCCAGGCACTAGCTGGTTTGAGTATCTTTATTGCGGTGCAAACCAGGAACGGTTCTCACTGACTGCCATGCCACCTTCCTTTATGGCATTTGCCAAACAGCAGGGGGACTATTGCCCCCTTGGGCGCATCCGTGTCGTTGGGTACTATTGCTATGCCGAATAGCATCAGGGCATCGCCGCAATACTCTGCGCGAAAAGCACTGGGTGCTATTCAGGGTTGCTATTTGGCCTCGAGAGGTGCTATTCAAGAACCCAATAGCATCTCTCGCGGCCGAATGGGATCTGGGTGCTATAGCTCCTCCAACCGTCAATGATGTTTTTTGACGGGAGTGCTACTCAGATGACCGAATAGCGCCGCCGGTGCGATAGCATCCACCGGGTAAGGATGCTCCTAAAGTACTAGGATGCGACACCAAGGGTTTGGGACTCGATGGGAACTTTCATGATTGAGCTGAGCTGGTCACCGGGGATCCCGGTGGCGCCGCACCGTGCTGCTGGACGACGGAAGAGCGTCAAGCTCCGGCTTCTCGTGACGTTCTTCTTCTCACCCACCCACTCTGAGCTTCCTGTGCGCTCCAGACGGGGGCTGCGCTCCGCCCTGGTGCTGTTATGCCGCGCTGAACGCCGCCCACTGCGGGTGCATCTGCGCAGTCGAGTTCAGCCTGGTTGGTCCTGTTCCTGATTGGGCGCAACCGGCACTGCTGGGAGATTCGCTATCTGTTCACCTTGTGCTGCGGTGGGAGGGGCTTCGCGGACGGTGCACCCTCCTCGCCGGTAGTTCCAGCACGCAGGCCGGCCTCGCTTCGGGCGCAGTTGATCTCGACGGAGCCGGAGACAATCGCTGCAAGTGGCCACGAGGTGGGTACCTTCGACCAGATTGTGACACGGTGGAATCCCTTTCTGTTATCAGTTGCCAACGCTGTGGCCAGTTGGCATGCTCGTGCTTGGCCACCTGCCTGGTTGCCCTGCCTGTCTCGATCGCCGGACTGTTTGTGCCTCAAGACGTCGTCGTCAGGACCCAGAGGTAGCTGCGTGATTGTCAACCCGGCGAGTAGCCTGCGCATCGAATGGCGGCTCAATCCCACCGTAGACCAATCAAGGGATTGGATTCGGTTGGTGCTTGTGCACCTTTGGATGTGAAAGGCACCCGACAACGACCACGAGCTGTGAGGGCAGCTGCTTTTGGCACTTCTGAAACCTGTAGCCGAAGTAAAGATTGGGCGGCTGTGGTCCGTGTTTGGCCACATTTGCAACCGTGGTTTAGCATGGCG